CACAACGCAAACCGCAAAATGGTTTATTATTATCATTATTATTATTATTATTATTTTAAATTTATTGATTTTAACCGCAAAATTTATTTTTTAAAACATTTTTTTTCTTTTTTTTTTTTTCTTTTTTTGTAATGTTTATTTTAAATTACAATCTCATTACAATTTATTATTGTAGGGTGTGTGCGCGTGTGCGGGTATTTTGCGGCAAACCAGAATGCTCGATTTTAAATATAAAGAAAAAGAGCGAAAGAGAGAGAGAGAGAGAGAGAGAGAAAATCGATCAATCAATTTCGTAATTGATCGATCGATTTTCACCTTAGGGTAAATTTTTGCCTCGATCGTTATAAAATTTGTTTAATAATAATAAAAAAAAAAATTTCATACTTAAAATTTGTAAATGTTCAACCGTGATTTCCGTTTCCGGTTTTTTTTTTTTATTTATTTATTTTTTGGGAAAATTTCGAAAACGATGGAAAATAAATAAAATTTTCTCGTGTGTAACTAAATTTTTACAAAACGGATTTCTCTTTTATTTTATTTTTATCTCTTAATGACAAACATTAATTTTTTTCTTTTTATTTATTTATTTATTCAATCATAATTATACATAATTTTTTTTTTAAATAACGGTTATCGATTTTTCAAATTTCCGCCATTTTTGACATTCGTGCGTGAGTGTGTGACTAAATATCAATTTGAAAATTTTAATGGATTGATTAACAAAAAAAAAAAAAAAAGTCGTGAGCATGTGACAAAAATGTATATTTTAAAAAAAAGAAATTTAGGATGCAAACCTTTCTGGTTATTATTATTATTATTATCATTATCATTATCGTCATTATCATTATCTTTATCATTATCATTATTGCCAAAAAATTTTCTCTTTGGAATAATTTTAAAAAAAAAATTTTTATTGACAAATTTTTTTAATGTGAATATTTTTTCCGTAAGCTAAATATTAGTTTTACTTTTTTTTTTGAATTTTCGAAAGGCGGAAAATGGAAAAATTTCACATCCGGTTTATATGTGAAATAATGGTAGCAAAAACGAATTAAATTATTAATTATTTAAGAGAGAGAGAGAAGTAAAAAAGAACTTTTTTCGTGAGAAAAAAATTTAAAAAAAAAAAGAAAAAAAAACACCTAATGAAAAACTACCTGAGGGTGCGAGGGAAGAAGAAACAACAACACGAAAGATGTTGTTGTTGTTGTTGGCTGTCCCAGAACTCAAAGATTGATAATATAATTATACGCTTGTTTTTTTTTTTTTTTTTTTTTTACTCTACAGTACGGGTATGGTCGTAAATGATGGCTTGGTATATATATGTGTGTGTATGTGTGCGTAGTAGATGGAGGTTGATGCCAACCTAAAGAAGAGAAAGTACCTGAAATTTAAATAAATCACCTTTTTTTTTTTTTTTTTTTAAAGAAAATTTTGCCGAGTCGTATAAACGAAGAAAATTAAAAAAAAAACAACAGGAGCCCTTTAGAGAAATTGCGGGAACCACCAAGTTGTAAGAAAATTTATTAATATTAAAAAGAGAGAAAGAGAGGGGAAGGGGGGAGGAGAAGAGGATTATTATTTTTAAACCGTGACATAGAAATGGTGGGTGGGCAGGCAGGAAATATGATACGCCGACATTTTTATATTTG